ATTGTCTTAGCATGGGTACACATTAAGCTTTATTTATATTTTTATGCCAATACAATACAGTATGATAGTCATTTGCAAAAATACTGCTAATGATTCTGTGGGCCCATGGATTGTAATATAGAAGGAGAATTCTTTGGCAAAAAAATTATTTTCTCATTTTTGTAGTGCCTAACATTTTTTTAGTGTGCTGTACAGTTATCCACAAAGAGTAAAGTTTTTTTTTTGTACTCATTTTCATTTTTCATATTCAATTCAGTTAAATATTAATCGCAAAATTCTATTACTATCCATGCATTCCTCCTGGATTAATAATTCTACAGTAATGTTTTAACTTTTTAAAAAATACTGAGTCCAATTTCCTTTTAAGGTTAATTTTTCTATGCCATTCATGTTGCTTTTCTAGTAAAATTGTTTTGCATTCCTTGCTTAGACTTTCCATCATGGCATTTTTCACTTTTATAGATATAGGTTTTACAAAGGGAGCATACTGAAAAACTATCCATATTCATACATGTTAACACTTTGCCGACCACTAGTGGTTCAACAGAATACGCATGTCTGACCGGCGGCTCAGTTGCAAATTCTCCTTAATTATAAAATGCAGACGATAAAGCAAATGGCAATTATTTATCGCCATGGCTACCGATTGATAGGCTATTTTGAGGTAGCCCTGAGAAAAAAGCGATGAATAGGCTATCGGTCGGTGGGCGTTGGCGAAAAAAGCCGATTAATAGGTGATCTTTCGATAAAGTGTTAAAAATATCTTTTGTAAGGTACCCAGAATATAGTCTTAGTAAAACATTCATTCATTTATTTTGTTAGTATTTATATTTTACATTCACCTTTTATGTATTGATGTAATACAGTACAAAGTCTTGGTGATTCTGGATTATAGATCATAAATTTAAATCTGGTAAGATGGCATGCAGAAATTAAAAAATTAAAAATATGAAAACCGTAATTTATGAATAAAGAGCAACTATGATCTAAAGGTATCAAATTTACAAAAAAAAAAAAAAAAAAAAAAAAAAAAAAAAAATCTTATATTAATTTTACTTTATTAAACATTTCTTTCAATGTAAGTTGTTTAAGTTGCTTCGTTTTTTTGTGCTAATACTTTCTCTTTAATTTTATAAACAGACATAATTTCTTGTTCAGTTCCACTGTTCAAGTCCTGTAATTGCTGTGTCGAGAATACCGACTAACTTGTCAATTGAAATTTTTTCATTTTCAATAACCTCTCTGTCACTTTCTTCACTATCGGAAGCAGTACATCGAAACATGCTTTCGCTTTGTATATCCTTTGGCCGCTCCAGAATCGGAAACTCTTTTTGACATAATGGAAAGTTCAAGCTTACTTTTTATAAAATTGCTCTAACAGTCTGCAAAAAATAATCAGCCGGATCCAATTAGAAGATTAAGGAACAACGCAATCTGCAACATTAACTGAAATACATAATTAGATAATTTTAGCCTAGCTTATACCGTCCGTTATACATTAAACGCACGTGCATAAATTTGCTATGCGTTTACGCATGCGCAGAAAGTTTGTAGCTTTGAGGTCCGGATTAAAGACTTTGTACTGTATATGGTTAATATTGGTTGTAAGCTAATATGGTTTTTCAGCTTATCTGTCCATTCAATTTGAGAAAATAAATGGGGATATTTATTCTCATTGGTACAATTTCTTGTTTTTACTGAATAGTCAAAAGTTTTTTTGGTGTCATTTTTAAAACAAATTCTTATGAGGAAAATCTTAAGATTTTATGAATGAAAAAGGCTTTTCTACTTTTTAAGATGTCTTGAATGATCTTGAATTTTTGAGAAATGTATGGCACCATTTTAAGAGAGATAGAAAAGATGCATTGGCAACCACTCTCTTTCCTTTTAAAGAGAAAGGACTCTGCTGTTTCCTGATTAAAGTTCTGAAATCATAAGGCAAATGCTGTTACAAAAAATGATATTTGCACTAGCTTTAGTGGAAATTATACAAAAAGAAGAGAAAAATTGTGGGGCTTCTGCAAGATAATTCGTCACCTGCTACTATATGATGCATCTTGACAACTTTTCCCTTGCCATGACTACTTACAAAGCTCGTAGAAATATCAGGTGCTCGCCCATCTTTTGCCATCTTCATCTGTTCACTGCTTAGGAGCTTTACTCAGGAATTTCGATTTTTCGTCAGGATCCAAATATAGGATCATCTGAGGTTACTGGTAAGAGCTGTTTTAGTAGCTGAAATCACCCGAATATCTTAAGTACCTTTTTCGTGTGAAGTGTGAAAGAAAGTAGACAGAAATTAAGTGGCTTTTTCATGCCATGGTTAATTCCTCTAGACATCACATTAACTATTATGATGACCACAAGCAGTGTACGGGAAGTCAAGTTTGACAACAAAAAATGTCCTTCTCTGCTCTAAAAACAAGACTTAAGAACTTCAATTTCTAGTTCAAACTAAACAAATCAGTGTATTCAAGAGGAAAAACAATCTGTTTTCAGAAGGATGAGTTTCCCAAAAAATTAGTACATAATTCTGAGGAGAGAAATCTTTCAGGATATAATATTTATATAAGGAGATTTAACATGAACACAGCTTGGAAATATTTTATAGAGTACAAAGTCTGTAATCCAGATGTCCATTATCCGGAATGATCTATAATCCGGACCTCAAAGCCACAAACCTTTTTTTTTTTTTTTTTGTATGCTTTGTGCATGCATGTAATACGTTTACGCATGGGCGTTTAATGTAGAATGGACGATAGCCGCGAATTTGAAGGTTTTCGGGCATCGCAAATTAAAGGATCAATCAATTAACGAACAGCGAAATCTGTAGTATGGTTCTAGATCCAGAAAATACTGCTTCCGATGGTGAACAAAGTGACAGAGAGGTTATTGAAAATGAAAAAATTTCGATTGACAAGTTAGTCGGTATTCTCGCCACAGCAATTACAGGACTTGAACAGTGGAACTTTGTAACTGAACAAGAAATTAGACTGTTTATAGAATTAAAGAGAAAGTATTGGCACAAAAAACAAACAACTGAACAACTTACATTGAAAGAAATGTTAATAAGTAAACAACATAAATATTAAGCTTGTTTTTTGTAAATTTTGAAAGCCCTTTAGATCATAATTGCTCTTTATTTCATAAATTAGGGTTTCATATTTTTAATTATATAATTTCTGCATGCCATCCTACCAGATTTAAATTGATGATCTATAATCCGGAATCGCCAAAGTCCTGACGAGTCCGGATTGCGGACTTTGTACTGTACTTAATGAAATGAACTTTTTAAACAGATTTTACTGTATACTTGTTTTGATAATAGAAATTTTAGTCCAAAATGGCAATTTGCCCAGGAGGAATGTTAATTTCATTTTGCATTGATTCACTACAAGCGATGTTTCTCTTTTTGAATTATTGCCACCAAATATTATTGCCCTGTTCTTCATTATTTAAAGAAATTAAATAATGAGTCTGCATGATTGTATGTTATGTTTTTTGCGTTGTGATAAAACAACGGTACATAGAGCCATCAAATTTTGAATAATGTAATCCTGCTAATATGGGCATCTAGAAGCCCAAATTTGAAATTTGTTTTATGATCGATTTCATATTTTGTAAAACTTTAATGAATTTTTTATTAACAAACTCGAGGATTTCAAAGCAAGCAATGGCAACATTGCACAGAAAAAAACATTTTTATTTCCAGAGCACGAGACTGTTTATCGGAAATTCTAAAGATATGCTCATTTTAAAATTAATTTGCAATATTGCTCTTGAGCTGAATTTTATGGTTCAAGTGTAAAGAATATGATATTTAGTAAATAAAGGTAACACACAGAATGTTAAAAAAAGCGCCCTTTTGGACGTATTTTAAAATCTGAAATATTTCAGATTTTTTTTTTTTTTTTTTTTTTTTTAAGTAATTGATCTCTTTGGTGAAAATTGTAAGAAATGTTGACATGACAAATGATGGTTCATTCTGAGAAAACTTAGTTTTGATTTCTTGTGTTAGAGGGATTCTTAAAACATCATCACATTAACCTGAAATTACATTTTAAATAGTTTTGTAAACATTGAGTAAAAGTAAAACAAAGCATAGTTTGGTCTGAAAACAAAGCATAGTTTTGTTTTCAGACCTTGTTATTAATAAAGGTTTTTATTAATAATAAATGTGTGCATTAGAAACAGTTCAACAAAAGTTTTTATAATATTTACTTTATAAAAGTTCTGCTGCATAGTAACAGTTGATGCTCTACTTCTCAATCTTGCTTGATTATTTTGAATCTATTTACAATGTGATATGGAATTTTTTTAGAGCATTGAAATGTATTGAAAGTAATTAACATAATTTTGAAATAATTTGATAATTTTTTAGTGTTGTCATTTAATCAAGTAAATTTAATTTTATTATTTATTGCTTTCAATTTCATGACCATACCCTTTTTGCCTTATGCCTGATTCCAAAAATTGCTGCAGTTGTTTTACAATTGTTACTACTGTCGCCAAGGTAAAGAGTTTTTAAAAGGGATTGTACTGTTTCTCTTGCTATCATTCTGTTTTCCTGTTTCATGTTCATATCTTTATTTTATAATGTGCTTTGGTGGGATTAAAAGCACTTTAATGTAATATTTGTCATTAATTAGAACTGCTTTTAATCTTATCTCCAATTGAGGATTAAGTACTTTTTTACGTAGTCCGAATATGCATGTATAAATATTTGATTTGACTCTTGTATAAAGCGAGTTGAGATAAAATAATCTGTTCATATAGCATTTCATTTAATTATAGGAAAAGGCAACAGCAACATTTTTGGTGAAATGTAATGGTAAAAAAATAAAACTGCATTTCACTGTTATTTTGAAAATCATTGTCAAAACATTATAGTTTCTCTTTGGTTTTTTTTTTATATTGGAACATAAAGATGCTTATTTTTGCTATTTTGAAGTAGGCTCATTTTTAACATGATACTTTAATTACAAAATATGTTTTCATAGGAACAACAAAATGTCTTCAACAACTGTGTTGTACAAGAGACCTGGATGGTTTGTTCGTATGTCTCCTGAGAAACAGGACACTTTGTTGAAAATGTTGATACTCTCAATGGCAGCTGTGCTATGTATGTTTAACTTATCCAATTTGAAACATTATTTGTAGTAACTAACTATGCTTGTAGTCTTGGATATTTTTAGAGTATGCACCAAAATGTTGTATCTGATGGTTTGTATATATATCTTGTCGAGTGATGTTTATTTAAAATTATTTTTATTTTGAACTTATTTTGCACCTTTTAACAGTGTGCTTGTAATTGTTAAATATGTGTTGCATTAGTTAAAATTAATTAAAGCGTAAATTTTTCTTTTACTGTAGTTAAGACTTTTTTCATTTTATACACTTGTTATAGGAGTGTATATATACACATATTATAGACATTAATGTATATTTTAGCCTATATATATACATTTGTTATATAAGTTTAGTGTAATGTATGCAGTTATTACTGAATGTGAATTGTATTAACTTTCCAGTTTGATGAATCCTGCTTGATTTTTGTGTTGAAAGTTCAGGAGCATTTTATTTCATCAGTGAAAATCTATCTTATTTAAAATATATTTTTGGAATCATTTGAAAAGCAAACTTTAAATTTATTTTAACTTATTTCAGTCTACTGTTGGTATGTTGCTGGAAGAAAATGTGTTCATTTAAATTCACGTCGCGGCGCGCAATGAACTGGAAGTTGATCTGTCAGCACTATCGTTATCTTCAGGACAGATGTTTTTATTTTATTTGGCTTATAATTCCTTACTAAATGTAGTATTTTATCTCGATGTACTCCATCTTTGATATGATTTAAATCAAATTCCTCGCCATTATAAATATCACGAATACAAATCAAATAGTTTTCTGGTTGTAATTTTCTAATTTTGGCTATGCGTAATGTATGCTTTACGCATGTGCACGTTGAAAGAAATGTTTAATAAAGTAAACAAATAAATATTAAGCTTCTTTTTTTGTAAATTTTGATACCCTTTAGATCATAATTGCTCATTATTTTATAAATAACGGTTTCATATTTTTAATTTTAGAATTTCTGCATGCCATCTTACGAGATTTAAACTGATGATCTATAATCCGGAAAAATCGATAATCCGGAATCGCCGAAGTCCCGACGAGTCCGGATTAAAGACTTCTGACTGTACCAGTCTGGCTGATCTCCACCATGACAGTGCTTCAGTGCTTAAGTTTCTTAACTGTTTGTAATGCTTAGCACTGATTGTCTGATTCGGTCACACCAGCTCATGCAACCATACTTCCATGAATATTCTATTTCTGCATTGATTTATCTGTTTCACCTACCACCGATACCTTTTTGCATTTTTCATCTGTTGGAATTCAATTGAAAAATACCTTTCTTTTTTTGTCTTTGAAGCACCAATTCACATATGGTCTTTTGATGTTCAGTGTCCTTTTCTTTCAGCTGATATGGGACACAACTTCCATACTTTTGAACCATTCCCATCTCATGTAAATACCGAGAAATGCATGGTTAGGTTATACTTAATGCATCTGCCAATTCTGCTTGTGTTTGGCAGCAATTTTTGTCCAATAATGCCTCCAGTTCTTCATCTTGAATTTTAGCGGTTCTCTTTGCTGTTTGTTATGTGTCAAAAACCATTGCCACATTTTGCAAACTGTATTTGATTGAGCATGTTCACCATAAATTTCCAACAGCTAAACATACGTTTCTACTGGTGTTTTCTTTACAATAATGCAATGAAAAACTCCCCATGAATGCTTTTTTTATCTGCAACGATAGACACTTTTGCTTAAGTAAAAGTAATTATTGTTTACACTTTTAACAAATGTCACACACTATTAAATGTTGCTGCGAGACCTTTAAAATACAAAGGTTTTCAGATTCTGTTGCATGCAAGCAATATTACTTAATGACATCTATAATAGAAAGAATGATAAACAACATTTTAATAAACTACATTTTAAATTAAACAATCAAATAACATAAGGAAATTCATCTTAGCACTACACAAAGGAAATATCCATTTACCTTATTTAGAAAATTTCCTGTCTTCAGTCGAACAAAATTCCCTAACAGCATCCAAAAACTTCCTAAAATTATCTGAACTAGAATCTGTATACTGGCATTGCCACATAAATTCACAAAGAGTAAAAAATATCCTTCATAGTGTCGGTATCCTCCGACATTTGACCATATGCATTTCCTTCCGACAAATAGGACACTTATAATGGCTATTAAGCTAACCTTCATTTATGCACCAATCAGTTAGTGCTCTTTTTCCCTTTCGTTCCAAATCATAAAGAAACTTCAAATTAATCTCACCACACTCAGCCATTGTACCATCTAAACCACAAAACAAGCAATGAACCTCCTAACCAACACACATCGTAAGCCCTTACAAATCTTTTCCCATCATTTAAATTCACCGCAGTCACGCAACCAATTATGTCATAATAGGGTTTCCATAACATTCAACTGCTCAGGTTGCCATAAATGAAACAATTTCGTGATAATACAAGGGGCACCCTTAAATCTACTCTAATTGTAGTTTGTTTTTTCTCTGTTACTTCATTCACATCCTCAGATGATAATCGAAGTGTTGTAAAATTTTGTTACATTTTATAAGCATTGTCATAGAATGAGTAACCATAAAGGTTTAGATGATGCATTGAGGTTCAGAATCGTTGCTAGCTTGGAGGCTAGGCAATCCCAAATTCAAGTTGCAAAAGAGCTCACGGCGATACTTAATGTTGTGCGCAGTTTGTGGAAATGATTCATATTTAGAAAATATGGGTAGGGGCATTTAAAAGCCAAGGTACTGATAAAGATCAGTAATTGACATTTTCAGGCAAGTATCTGAAAGCTGCTGCGCAATTTCGATATGAATACAGCAAGGATCAAACAGCTGGTCTTATAAGCTCTATGCTGCCACTTGAACCTTAGTGTAAAGAATTACTGTTTCCCCAGAGGCTTTTTTTACTGGAAGCAGTGCACTTTCTCCTTTACATGGGTTTCTGAAAGCTGTTTAAATCTTGCTCACTTCCATGCATAAGAACACGCTGAAAACACCAGCCTTGTAGCCAACTTTGGGGGGCCAAATTTCTCTTAAGTGGTGAATGTAAATTGAGCCTATATACTCATTCCCAGTGTGCCTTTATTTGGAAAGAACCTGAAACCAGATTCAGGTAAAGGGACCACTATGGCAATGGAATATCAGGGTCTGGGCAGGCATTCATTGGTTGGCGACATCACTCATGCGTTTCATAGTAGGCTTCCGTGTTGCTTAAAGTTTAGAGAGAAGACTGTCGAGTCTTACGTGCAATTTTTTCAGTAGTTCATTTAACTCTTGTTTTTTTTTTTTTTTTTTTTTTTTTTTTTATGCACAGCAACACTTATCCACATAGGGCTGCACTGGTGGATGAACATTTTCAAAGTGAAATATTCAGTAGCTGGACCGACCAGCCAAGGCACCTGAACTCTAGATGTAGTGCCTTGGCTGATGCCTACATATTAATCAGAACTCTTAGATCTGAACTTGATTGAACTCATCTGAGACACACTTGGGAAAATAGTTGCAGCTCACTGTCCTATTTTAAACTTATCCTTAAGCTGAGAACTTTTTTGATGCGTGACTGGGTGCAGCTGCCATAAAGATTAAACTCAGTTAGTTGTTTGTGATGGTCTTCTCTGCTTTTGACAAGGCATATCAACTGCTCATTAAACATTCACCTCAGACAGAATACAATTAGCAGATTTCAAAACAACTTTACAATCCTTTATATACAATCGCTTCCGGTTAACTCTTTCGCATCGAGAGACGACCAAATCCGTTTTCAACAAACATCGAAAACGCCCATGTTTACGAATTTGTCTTGGAATAGTTTTCCTTTCCCCCTGCGGTTTCATCCATTGTGTGCAGTTTCACCTTAGGGCCGGACTGCACCTGCGAACGTCAATAGGTTTCTGTATTTCTCCTTTATTTGCTTGAAAAGAATGATTGACATGTCTTTTAACAACTCGCGAAACCAAAGAGCCATACACTAACGTGGAGGGGAAAGAACTAGGTAGAAAATAAACAAGGCGTTGGGACGGTTTGCCGTTGCCTGAATGAACGGGCGTTACGGGCGACTTCGATGCGAAAGAGTTAATAGGACCACATCGGGAAGCGATCGTTTTGGTCGTAATATCCGGCTGGTCCGATTACACGAACACGTCCTGTGTTGTAAGACGGGATGTGCTATATGTAGCAAACAGTAAATGTATATGTAAGTCATGTACTAAAATGTAATTATGACCTTTATTGTGCAGTACACACGTATGGCAAACATACATGTACAAACAAGAACTACAGTTGAACTTTTTTCATTGAGAAAATTAATTTAGAAACAAATTCTAGGAAATGAGCTCCACGATACTCAGCATGCGAAGCACAATAAAAACAAGTTCTTACTAAGTTCTAGTCAACATTTGAAGAACTTATCCAATGTGATCTGACGCGATCTCTTGACGGATTGTACGTGAACGAAATCGCCACAAACATCTAACGCAGCAATGGCCTGCTTTCATTTTCCTCCTACATGAAATACCATCACAAAGTTTCAATGCATTTCCTCGCATCCTGTGTTCTCACTTGCACCAACTTATTAGCAACATCATCATCATAAATTTCTTGGTCTTCGGATGCTGTCGTGTGTTTTGCTGCAAAGATTGCAGCGTCGTAATCTTCATTTTCATCATGGCATTGAAGTTCGTTGTCGATGGATAAAAATTCTTTGCTATTTTGTACCTCTTGAAGTTTGTGTCCATCATCATTTTCACTTTCAATGAGCATGTCCACATCTATCTCCAAAACCAAGTGCTTAAACCACAGTGAGAAAAACAGTTCTGAATTGTCTCATTGCTCACTTTACGCCAGATATCGGCCACAAATGGTAAGATGCTTGGTACTGGTAAGATATTGACGCTTTGCATTGACTTCGCTGGCTTTTGATGATGAGGTCAGCAAATTTTCTTCACTTGCTTCAAGGATGTAATTAACCAAACTTGCACGATAAAGGGTCTTCAAAATTTTTATGATGGCCATGTCCATTTTCTGTATCAAAGCTGTGGTCCTGGGAGGTAGAAATTTCAGTTGGACGTTTATCAAGCAATCTAAATGAGGATGTGCTGCACAATTTTCAAGAAGGAGCAGCACTTTTCTCGACTGGCGTTGTAGCTCTTTGTCCCAATCCTTCAGCCATTCTTTAAAAAGTTCCAGAGGTCATCCACGCATTTCTGTTAGCACGATATACAACTTGTAAACTGTCCATCTTAAGTCCTTTAAAGCAGTGAGGCTTAGTGCTTTTTCCTATAAGTAACAGCTTCCTCTTGTTCTTGACATGTTTGAGCAGCACAAGACAGTATGCGCGATCCATCACTTTTTTGGAGCCGGAGAGTACAACATGTTTGTAACTTAATGAGCCGTCTGGTGTAGAATGATAATACAGCACAAATTCATCAGCATTGTAGATGTCGTTTGCTGAAAAATTTTCAAGAAGCTCGAGCTTTAGCATTTGCACTATCAGCACTTTCTTTCTCGCCATGTGCTGTTTTGAATTTTATGTCATGTCTAGATTTCCATTGAGACAACCAACTGTAGCTTTAAAGTTATCGTTGCCCAGCTTTTTAGCGAGTTATTTTGCTTTGCATTTTAACATTGGGCAGCTTACTCACATAGATTGTCCAGTAACAGTGGCAAATCATTCATTAAGGGCCTCATCGACGTCTAGGATCTTTGCCTTCACGCTTCCGTTTTTTGGAAGTTTTTCCTTGTCCTTCACATTGTGCCTATTCTTCTTGCAGCTCATTCTCTTGTTTTATCAAGCGTGAAACTGTAGTCTTTGTCAAACCGCTAATTTTCACCAACTGATGCTGACTAGTGCTTCATGGTTGTTGCTTGATCTTATCCAGGAAACCAATTTTTTCAGCTAGAAGTCAAGTCCTGTCATGGCATTTTCGGCAGGGGAAGACAAGACACGCGCACAGTTCAGACTGACTAAAGTGGTCTGAAGAAAAAAACCTTGGTGTTTCGGGTTCAAGATGTTGAAGTCAAGAGGGAGATAAAATGCTTCCCATTCAAAGCTTTGGCACTAAAATCATCCCAAAAGGGTGGTGAAATGATACTTTTCTCGTGTAAACTTTAATCATGGTTGACAGGTTGAAATTCCTTTCAGGTGGAGCCGGATACTCTATTGTTCATTTCCTTGAAAATCGGACACACCAGTGGGACCAATAACCTCACTTGGCAGCTACTGATGGCTTTGTTTTAAGAAAGGTCAAAGAAAATGGTCACCTCCCACTGGTTTTCCTCTTGTCATGCACTTTAAGGAATTCCTGACCTTTGATAAAGCATTCTCCTGGGGAGCGCAGCTACAAATCCTCCCATATGTCGTGGACCACCTCTACATTGGCTGTACGCGGCCGACTTGTGGCTTATGTTTCTTATTAGCTCTCATGTTTTTTGGTCCAAATAAGCAAATAATATTAGGCTTATGGACATAGGATTTGTTTCGGTTCTTTAGGATTTGGTCCATAAAAGCGGCTGGTCCGATTATCTGGTGGTTCAATTAACCAGAAATATACTGTATAACCAGAAATATACTGTGGCTGGTTCTCATTCCATAGATGCACAATCGCTTTGTAATTTGAATCATTTGCATGTTTTACCTCACATTACATTTCCTGTAAGTTTGGTTCAATAATTCCTTCATGGTGGTGCAATTTTCACAAACGTGTGTGTATTTTATATATGCAAATCGAACAAAAAATGTTTGCTATCTGGCAGACATAGATGTTTATTAGTATAAGTTTTGGGAGGATTTCAGTGACAGTAATTTCCTTTCATTGGAGGTAACAAAAATAGCTTTTTTTTTAATTGATCGCTTTTTAATTAAAAAAAATTAATGACTACAACCTGGCTTATGTTACATTTTACTTTTCAGTAAATCTTACTGACCTGTCACAGTAATAAAAAAAGTTGAAATATAGCAAAAATTTGTAATGTATAATTAACCCTCCGAGCATAATGGGCTTAGCTCTGAAATTTCAAAGTTTCTCAAAATGTCATGAATAAGTAATATTTTCTTGATCTTAATTAAAAAATGACTCTCTCATTTTGTACCTTGATTCCTTTTTCTTCCAATATACCAAAATCAGATAAATTAAAAACTAGCAGAAATTTTCATGTGTAATGAATGCGGAATTTTCTGGCCGTAATGCTGAGAGGGTTAAGCAAAAGAAAAGCAAATGGGTACCAAAATTAATAGGGATAGTTACTGTGAAATATTTTGATATTTTATAATACAAAATGTTGATCAGAATTATTTCAAGTTTTTGATGTACCTATATTTTTGTTAGCTTAGTTGTCATATCTTGTTAAATGTATTGTAAATTATGTTTTGAATATAGATAAGTAACATATTGTGTTTTCTTTTAGCTTTTTCCTCACGCTTGTTCTCTGTTTTGAGGTTTGAAAGTGTGATTCATGAGTTTGATCCATATTTTAACTATCGTACCACTAGATATTTAGCAGAAAATGGATTTTATAGTTTTCACAATTGGTTTGATGATCGTGCATGGTATCCATTAGGAAGAATTATTGGTGGTACAATATATCCAGGTAAATTTGCTATGTGTAATTTTCAAAAATCTGTGATTTAAAATATTTATAGTATTTCTTTTCTTTTCTTCTCTTTCAAAATAATTATAGTATTTCTTTTCAGGCTTAATGATAACTTCTGCAACAATTTATCACGTTCTGCAATTCTTGCATATAACAATTGATATTCGAAATGTATGCGTTTTCTTGGCACCTTTATTCTCCAGTCTGACTACAATCATAACCTATCTTCTTACAAAAGAGCTTAAAGTAAGTATGAACCAAACATCTGATATAATATTTCTTCTTGAAGTGAAGAGTTGTGAAGTTTACAATGCAGTTTATATTCTTTTAATAATGTGCATGATTATAGCTTTATCTGAGACATTTAATTCTTCGTAATTTGGGACTATTGCAACTAATAGTTAAAATAATGCTAAAATAGCTGTTACAAAATAAAAGATAAATTGTAACATTATGAAAATATAACTTGAAAGTAAGTTCCAGTTGGAAGTTAAAGAATATAGCAATTAAAATATTTTATTTTAAATTTCTTTAAAAATTTTTTGTCAGTTAACTCTAGTGCTCTCAGTCCATAAAAATGTTGGAATTTGCCCCTTATAGGATTATTGTATATTAATTATTCATAGTTCTAATATTAAGCATAGTAGTATAAATTTTGTAAAAAAGTAAATTTACACTTGAAAGATTAAAATTATTAGTATGGTTATGACAGAAATCTCAAAAGCATAAACTTATCCAATAAAAATATGATTACTAGATCCTGGGGAGGGAAGCCCAGCTGTATGTAAGAATTGATAAATTAATTAACCCTCCAGCAGCCAGGAGTTTGGCCCTCAAACCCTGAATTTCCCCCAAAAGCAAAGGGTAATGAACTTCCCATTTTTTACCTTGATTCCTTTTTTCCCCAATATGTGTACATTTATAGATGCATTTCTGTGTATTTAAAGGTTTGATGACAAATAATTTTAAGCATATGTATATAAAATATATATACATATATACTGGGCAACTTAATGGGTTAAATGCAAATGTTAGGTATCCTGAAAAGTATCCACTTTTGAAAAACTTTCTATTAAATAGTGTAATTGTTTTTTGTGTGTTTAAAGAAGTTAATTTGCAAAAAGGATTATTTTATGAATTTAGTACACACATAGGTAACAAAATAGGTAGGAACAAGAAGAAAATAAAGTAACAGAATAATATTAAGAAACAGAATGTTAAAACATTTGATAAAATAACTGGAAAGGTTGCAGATAGACCAATAAAAATAAGGGCAAGAATGTGAGCAAACAACTGTGTTCTGATACACTGGTTATCATAAATTAAGGAAAAATCACAAAAATAGCAATACTCCCTAAAAAATAAGCCAAACCATATAAAATTTGAATATGTTGCCAAGTAAGAGTAGCTGAGTAAAACTGCAATATGCAAATTAGTGGTGCTACACTCGGAATATGTCATCTGTGAGGAGAATAAAAGTCCATGTTTGAGAGCAAGCCCACATAGTTTACTGTGATAGTGACATCAGCAATGTGAGATAGCCAATTCGTAACAATGACCTCCAGGCATCGTTTGCCTGCAGAACTACGATGGAAAGCCATTGGGAGACTAGAGGCAGGACAAAGTCAAACAGAAGTGGCCGGATGGCTAAATGTGTGTCCTTCTGTGGTTCATAGACTTTGGAGGCAATTTCAAACCACAGATTCGGCATCTAGGAGGTTCAGCCAAGGACGGCCAACTGCTACAACGAGCGCCGATGACCGAAATTTGACATTATGTGCACGCAGGAATAGAACCGCTACTCCAACTCTTTTTAGATCCTTCCTTGCTGCAGCCACCAGAAGGTTGGTGTCAATGTCAATTGTGCATAGAAGGCTTCACAAAGGTGGTCTGTATGCGAGACGACCAGCCATTTGCGTGCCGCTCACGTCACGCCATAGGAGGGACCGTTTGCAGTAGGCACGACAACATGTCCACTGGACGCGTAATCAGTGGAGGGCTTGTTCTCTTTACAGGATGAAAATTAAAATATAGGCATTTATTAAATTAAATTATAATTCATCAGGTTTAGTCTAGAAAACGATAGTAGGCGTTATTTGATATGGAGAAAACCTGGAACCCGTTATCATCTGTCAAACATCCGTTAAAGAGATGCATACGGAAGAGGCAGTGTCTGTGTTTGGGGGGGGGCATCTCTTTGAGTGGATGCACAGACCTCCATGTCTTTCCAATGGAAACTGTGAATGCTCCAATTTATAGAGATGACATCCTTAATGCTTATGTGGGCCCATATGCCGGGGCAATAGGGGATGCTTTCCTGTTACAGGACGATAACGCAAGACCACACAGGGCTCGCATCGTAGAGGATTATCTTCAACAGGAAACAATTATGCGCATAGAGGGGCCCGCTCGATCCCCGGACTTGAATCCTATCGAGCACGTTTGGGATGCTTTAGAGAGACGTCTAGCTGCTCTCAATTCGCCCCCTCACACCCTTGCTGTGCTTGCAACTGCTTTGCAAGAGCAATGGCTTTCGCTTCCTATGGAACTGATAGACCGCATAATTGAAAGCATCACACATCGCTGTATGTGCTGTATTGCTTCTATAGGCGACCATATTCCATATTGAAGGTACTTTTCCTATAGCAAACTGACACTTTCGATTTGTTCATTTTATACATGTGCTAATTTCTATACTACCATAATGGTCTGATAATTTATTTTTATGTTATTTGATACCTTACTATATGTTGTATATTGTGGGTAAGTTTCATAAAATTCTACCTGTAACTTTTTCAGTAATCGTAATTTTTTCTTAATTTATGATAACCAGTGTAGTTCAAAGTTGAAAAATAAACATGCTAAAATATTCTCGGTATTTTCTTATTATGTGCACCCTTGTCCTGAAAAGCTGCCTGGCAGCTAAATTTTCATTAAGCTAAGGCACAAAAGCCAACAGCCATTTTAAAATATGGCAGCATACTGCCATATTTTAAAATGGCTGTTGGTAAAATTGCTGCGCATGCAGTTATTTTCCCATGTGCACAGCAATGTGTTTTTTCTTTAAAATGTAGTGAATAATTACACTAATTTGGAATTGGCTTGTAAATATTTATTCAAAAAAATTTGATCCTTTACGAAGTATAACTTCATGAAATTTGCATTTTCTACTGTTAGGCAAAATGCTGTATTTCTAAAGAAATGCAATGCTTTCTTTTTCATCAGCTGGCAAACACTACAGTCTGTTAACGATTCCTTACAAAACAAATGCGTTCATTGCAATGAAAACAAATACTGGCCATCAAAGTTAGGAACCATAGCCTTCAGTGGAAATTAGCACTAGTCTGCTGCACACGTGCATATCTGAGTTGTCACAAATACATTTTTACAGTGCCATGGGCTTGAGATACCATTATTCTGGTGACATAGCAAATTGCTTTGTGAACTCTTCAGGAGTGTGAAGTACCAAATACTCTTATCAGCTAGTAGGTAGCTGAAATAATCGATGTAAGAGTTATACAGAAATTGAAATTTTTTAATAGTTGGGAATATTCTGCCTTTGCTTTGCATTACTTTGAGATAAAAAATTGGTGCATCTGAAAAGAAAAATAAGTGAATTTTTCCCCCTTTAAAAGCACATTATTAATCATTTTTGCATGAAATACTAAAATTGGCCATCTAGGTTGAATATCTAATTTGTATAATTTATGTTTATACTCTGTAATTTTATTTAATCCAGGATGCCAGTTCTGGATTGGTTGCTGCTGCTATGATATCTGTTGTTCCTGGCTATATATCTCGTTCTGTGGCTGGTTCATATGATAATGAAGGAATTGCAATATTTTGTATGTTATTGACATACTACATGTGGATAAAAGCTGTGAAAACTGGTTCAATTTACTGGTCAGCAATGTGTGCTGTGGCATATTTTTATATGGTAAGTATCTGACTCCATATTTCAAATATTTTTATCTCAAATTTGCTGATGTGTCCACTTTTTTTCATTGTTATGATTTTTAATATTTTATGTGTAATAAATTTCATTTAGTGAAATTAGTCTTTGAATTTGTTTTAAAGAGTTAGACATGTTTTTCTTTATTTAAATGAAATACCAAACATTATAGCTAATTTTATGAAAGGATAAGATCTGGGGTTTTAAAACATCAGGACTTTGGCAATTCTGGATTTTAGACCATCAGTTAAAAATCTAATAAGATAATATGCAGAAATAGTGAAATAAATGGGTTTTTTTTTTTTGTGCGTGCGTGCAAAATAATAAAGCACTTATGCCTTCAGAGGAACCTAAATTTACCCCCTTTAATATTAACATATTCTTTTATTAAAAATGTTTTCAATGCAAGTTGTGTATGTAATTTTTTTTGTGCTAGTACTTTAGTTAAATAGAGATACATATTTTCTTATTATGTTCCATTGTTTTAATATTACCAAATTGAGCATTCCATTTAAGTTGTCTTTTGAAGTCGTTTCATTTTCAACAACCTCTTTGTCACTTTCTTCTGAATTGGTGGTGCTATTTTCTGGATTTAAAACCATACTACAGATTTCACCTTCTTTTAGTTGATTGATAATTAGGAAGGATATTATTATCACAATGGAAAATTGCAGTTGTCATTTTCACTTAGCATTTCTTCACGTGTTCAGTTGAGCAGAAATTCACTTTTTATTCTTGATATCCAGAAACTTCTAAATTCTTGGTTATCCAACACTATTATAGCTGGTCGTAAATTATGCAAAGTTTTTTTAAAAATATCTGCAGATATTTCCGTCCTTGATCTTTAATGCTTCACACTGCAGATTTTGTATTAAAATATTGTGGTGAAAATTTCTTGGATGGTCTTACCACTCATCGTTCAAAACATTTTACATTGATTTTAAGAAGGTTACTTTATATCCGCATTTCAGTATGAAGCAAAATTCCAATATTCATTTGCTGATTAGGCCCACCAGCGGCCGAGCGGTAAAGACACTGAACACTGGTAGTTCGGTCTGAGGTTCTAATCCTGCGAACGGGCTGGCTGCATGGGCGTTTTCGTGGTTTTCCCCATGTGTAATGTGTATACGAGCCAGTTTCCCTTAGAAAGTCCTCCACGAAGGCATCCCTCCCTTTAGGCAGATAGCCTTTGTGTGCTTTGCCATAATTAAATAATCCAATCCAATCATTTGCTGATTAGAGGATGCACTGTTTGGAAGAAAGAATAAAACAGAGATGCTATCTTTTACTAAAAGTTTGACGCATTTGAGCCAACGACAATTTTTGCATCATCTGGTAAACCAACTTATTTCAACTGCTTCTGAACCTTGGGTACAAAATGATTCTCAAACCGGTCGTTAATCCATGCTCATCCATCTCGGTTATTTAAGCAGTAGATGACCCACCCCCAGAAAACCATAACTCTTCTAAATGTCCAAACTGATTCTTTTTTTTACAAAAAAATTACATTTGTTCATTTCTGCAGTGGATTACACATGCAAAAATTATTAATCTTGATTTGGAATCTTTGATGGCAGTTGAGGCATTTACAGCAGGGAACACATTGCCAGGAAAGACCAGTTTTACCAGTATTATAAATTTAGGGATAACTTTTTGTTTTTAGTGAGTTTGAGGAATTCATTTAGAAATTGTTCAGCTGCTTTACTATCATCTAAAACTTTTTCACCTAAAATTTTTAATTGCCTTATACCATGCTGATATTTAAATTTGGTTAACCAACTTATTTAATATGTGCACTCAGTTTTTGAATCCATTTCTTCATGAAATATTTTGATGCAAGTCATCATCATTGGACACATTAGTGATACTCTCTCACTATGATGATGCCTCACCGATTCAGTAGTCACTTTGTTGTGATTGTCATTCTTAGCATAATGAATAATTTTTACTTATTGCAGTAAGGTGTTAAAATCTACAAAAATTCCTTCTTCTGTTTCTTTTTTATGTTGTGTATTGCTAATTTTCCTGTGGCATACTTGTTGCATTTATCCATTTTTTGCAGCACTTCCACTTTTTACTTAATTGACAGTGAAACATGCTTTTGCTTTACAGATCCTGTGGCAGCTGTAGAATTAGAATTTCATTTCAACGTAATCAAAAACTCAGACCTTAATTTTGACTATGTAATATTAGTTATAGAGTGAGCAAAATAAAAGCTTGATAAAATCGGAAAGTTAAGGAAGAGTGCAATTCAGAAGGTAAGCCGAGCTTAAATTAATTGGAATCTGATTCTCTCTCCCTTCTAATCTGCCACACTGCGAAAAAATACTAGTATATGCAACATTCGACAAAGTTCTATTGGTCAAAGATTTTTTGAGGTTGAATTTATTGTTTATTGGGGTGAGTAAAACAGAAAAATGATTCCCCATAGCCATTCAGGGGCCAGAAATGTGGCTTACTAGCCTGCAGGTATTTGTTAGTGAAACAGTGTGTAGGATGACTGCTGTCACATGTAAGGTGTTTCTCTGACAAAAGAAGTTTCAGTTAGTTACAGGAAAAATCAGTTCGTGGCACACTTGCATTTTCTGTTATATTCTGTGTTTCCTACACTATGAGAAGAAGAAAAAAATTTTAAAAGAAAGAAAGTTATGTCTGAGGTCTATATAATCAGTCACTTCAGTTATTAGATGTCTGAATTTCAGACTTTGTGCTGTGCAAATATATGTGGTTCAAAAAAAAAAGTAAGTGATATAATCTGTGTTTATTTGCATAGCTAATTATATCTTCTTTATTAAACTTTAAAATTCTGTATTATTTAATTATCTAAATTGTTTTGCTTCAGGTCTCTTCATGGGGTGGTTATGTATTTCTAATTAATCTTATACCTCTGCATGTTCTGGCCTTAATGATCACAGGAAGGTTTTCACATCGTGTATATATTGCCTACAGTACAGTAAGTATGTTATTTAGCTTTACTTTGTTTATTCTTCCTGTTACTTTTTTTATTCTTTATGTTGATGTTGTCTTACACTATTTCAGCTGTATTGCCTAGGAACGTTGCTTTCAATGCAGATATCATTTGTTGGATTTCAGCCAGTACAGTCTAGTGAACATATGGCGGTGAGTTTGCTTTGTGTAAATTATGAGCTTCTTTGTATGCGTGTGCAATAAGTTTTTTAAATGATGAGACATATGACTGAAATTATGATTAAATGTTTTTATATGTTTGCTTGCATAGAAATTCATTCATACATTTCATACATTTTTCATGCTGAAGAATACTGTTTCAAAGCAGCATGTATCTTCCTATTTATTATCTGGGTGTGAAAACATTTATTTGATCCAGTTTGAAATCTCTTGAGTTAGGTTTTGAACGAGTGAAACAGTATAACTAACACATCTAGTAATTTTTGCAGAATAACTGCTGATCATTTTTTTTTCCAAGTCAGTGTTATTCTCCAGCTGTATGAAAATTGCTGTATTTTAGTATTCAGTGAGCAATTTTGAATAATTTAAAATTTTTTTTTGAAAAAAAAGTGGTGTAATTTAAATACAGTCAAAAGTCGTTAATTCGGACATCCATAATCCGGACATCAAAGCTAAAAACTTTCTGCGCATGCGCCGCGTTGACACATGCGCATAGGCGTTTACACATGCACGTAAGACCTTTTACGACTGCGCATATGTGTGTGCGCAAGTGCAGAATATGTTTTTGCTTGCGCGTTTTATGTGTAACGGACGGTATAAGCTAAAATTATCTAATTATCTATTTCAGTTAATGTTGATGATTGCGTTGTTCCATAATTTTCGAATTGGATCCGGCTTATTATTTTTTGCAGACTGTAAGAGCAATACTAATAAAAGTAAACTTGAACTTTCGATATGTCAAATAGAATTTCCGATTCTGGAGCTTCCAAAGGATCGTACAAAACGAAAGTATGTTTCGATGCCCATCAAACAAAAAGTGAAATTGCTGCAAAAAATGGATAAAGACATGAAGAATGTGACAGAGAAGTTAGTGAAAACGAAAAATTTTGATTGACAAGTTGACAAGTAGCCAGTATTCTCGGCCCAGATTAACAATTACTCAGGACACTGAACAGCGGAACTTTGTAACTGAACAAGAAATTATGTCTGTTTATAGAATTAAAGAGAAAGTATTATCACATAAAAAAACGAAGCAAGTTAAACAACTTACATTGAAAGAAATGTTAATAAAAGTAAACAAATAAATATTAAGCTTTTTTTTTTTTTTGTAAATTTTAATCCCCTTTAGATCATAATTGTTCTTTATTTCATAAATTACGGTTTCATATTTTTAATTTTAGAATTTCTGCATGCCTACGAGATTTAAACTGATGATCTATAATCTGGAAAAATCGATAATCCCTAATCGCCGAAGTCCCGACGAGTCCGGATTAACGATTTTTGACTGTACTAATAAATGAATTGAACATTATCAGAAGTGCTCAAGTACTTTTCTCATGACAAAAGTTTACATACTTTGTGCAAAATTCGATGTTAAAGAAACAAGGTTTATAATTTGTCATTTAAATAAATGTATTTTACAAGGAAAATTATTCAACAGAAATTATTCAAGAATAAAGCATCAGTGGCAAAAATATTATTTAAGCTAATTATGGTGACATAATTTATAATTAGATCATGTAATGAAAAAAGTACCGATATCTAAAAAAAATTATATAAACTATTCATTTTAAAGCATACCATATTTAGATTTTACAGCTTGCAGTATTTTAGGCATTGAAAATTAGATCTTGAATGATTTCTTTCCAAACATATTGCAAGGCATTTATTAAAAGAATTCTGTGTATTATGCTAAATATCTTTGCTTATGTATCTTTGCTTTGTTTTTTGTATGTTTTATAGGATTTAATCTGGGTGGTAGGGGTAATACTTATGTGTCATTATAACCATTTTAGTAGAAGTTACCAAATTTTCAGAATATGCCATACTCTGGCAACCATTCTGATAACAATCCTTCGGTCAAACAACTTTATTTCAGATATTATCTTTTCAAGAATTTATATTTGAGAAAGATAAATAGCATCGAAAAATATAGAAATTCGTCACCATTTTCATTCCTTTTGCTCAGTTCCAAGTTCCAACAGTTTTTATGGACAGATCATATGTTTTGCCTTAAATTAATTTTAAATTATTGTCTGGGGAATCTGACAGTAGTGGAAGAAATTGCAATAAGAATTTCTACAGAAATGCAGTGTTTTGCTAGAAAGGATGAAGATGAGCTGCATGTAATAGACATCCAAGTTTGTGGAATTTTCTGATCTTTTGTAAGTGGAACAGATCTCTGGGGAGAACAATGCTGAAAATTCAGAGAAGGATTTCACAAAAATTGTATGTTATTTTTAATATATCATGTAATCCTTATTTAATAATTAAAATTTGTATTTTAAATTTCTAAAGTGTTTTATTTTGATATGTTGATAATGTTCAACAACTTTCCATAAATAATCATAGTTCGGGAATATTTTTTAAAACAAGGCCACGAAAATCTCCAACTTGCATCCAATAAGTAACTTTTATCTTTTCATCTGTAAAAAAATCACCAGATTGTGGCAAGGTGGTTGTTAGTGCATAATTACCATAGAATTGAATGGAGTTGCTTTAAAACACAATATAAAAGCTACATTTTCACAATTCAAGTGCTAGTCTTAGGACTGTTGTAGTAAGAAGTTTGTCTCCAGATTATCCTCTGTCGATTCAAGGTACTCTGCAGTAACCAAATAATATTTAGAATGCGTATTTCCTTATTCAATGAACACACTTTTTTGGTACTTGTGTATTATCACATCAACTATGAAAGTTGGCTACCATTGAGCCATGAAAGTTGGCAGAGATCCTGCAAAAGTTGCACCAGTGTTCCTATGAAATTCTGAAGGAACTGCTACCTCTACTTATTAAATAATCAGTATTCAACCATTTTTGTTTCTGCATTTTTTAATAATGTTTTCATCGATATCTGCTATTTTGTTAATAGCAGTTTTATGAGAGCTCTGTTTAGAATGCTATGAATGCAAAATTCCTGCAGGTAATTGTTCCAGTTTGTTACTGTTTCGATGGCCATTTTCAGCTGACCATATCTTGTCCATTAATGCTTACTTTTTGTTTGATCCTTTAGGATCACATAACTTTGAAAATAATCCACTGGTCGCTGTACTGAAGGAGGCAGGTCCCAAACTTCAATTCTTTAAACATGAAATAAATAAATAAATAAATAAATTTACAGTTAATTTATATCCTTTTCCTAAAAACAAAAGGTATCTTATTGAAAATAACTTGTAGTTACATTCAATAAGAGCACAGATGGTATGAACGTATGCTGTTATGTTATGCTATCCATAATTGGAACCAAATCTTGCTGTTTGGCAACAGTTTTATTGTCAAAGAGATAATACGTAAGTACCCACTTTTTCCTAATTTGCATGCTTATTAATGTTTGCACAAGTCCATTTCTTTTCTCTAAATCTTATAAAAGCTGCTTCTAATTACCAAACATGACATAGTCTCTTTCATGCTTGCACAAATCCATTTCTTTTTTCTCTTAAATCTTGTAAAGAATATTGCTTTCTAATGCTTTCATTATCTTTTGAGTAAAAAGCACTGTCATTCATAATTTTAAAGTTTCCGTTCTCTTCCTTTTTTTTTTTTTTTTTTTATTCCAATGCAAACTGCATTCTTTAAATTGATTTAAAAAAATTATCAGAAATTTTTTTAGGGGAGCGAGGATCTGTGATGACTCTGCTATGATATTCAACTGACATTTAAAGAACTTTACCTACAGTTTGTCAGATACACTCAGATGATCACTAAGAATTTGCTGTTGATTTAGGTTGCACAGTTTTCCCAAGTATTATCACATAAAACGAAGCAAGTTAAACAACTTACATTGAAAGAAATGTTTAATAAAGTAAACAAATAAATATTAAGCTTTTTTTTTTGTAAATTTTAATCCCCTTTAGATCATAATTGTTCTTTATTTCATAAAATTACGGTTTCATATTTTTAATTTTAGAATTTCTGCATGCCATCTTACGAGATTTAAACTGATGATCTATAATCTGGAAAAATCGATAATCCCTAATCGCCGAAGTCCCGACGAGTCCAGATTAACGATTTTTGACTGTACTAATAAATGTTGAACATTATCAGAAGTGCTCAAGTACTTTTCTCATGACAAAAGTTTACATACTTTGTGCAAAAATTCGATGTTAAAGAAACAAGGTTTATAATTTGTCATTTAAATAAATGTATTTTACAAGGAAAATTATTCAACAGAAATTATTCAAGAATAAAGCATCAGTGGCAAAAATATTATTTAAGCTAATTATGGTGACATAATTTATAATTAGATCATGTAATGAAAAAAGTACCGATATCTAAAAAAAATTATATAAACTATTCATTTTAAAGCATACCATATTTAGATTTTACAGCTTGCAGTATTTTAGGCATTGAAAATTAGATCTTGAATGATTTCTTTCCAAACATATTGCAAGGCATTTATTAAAAGAATTCTGTAATTTTGGGTACCCAGGTGTAGGTTTTAAAAGTTGATTTCTCAAATTTTACTCTCCAGATGTCAGCAGGATTTTTATTGACTACCTGGAATATTTATTTTCTTTCCCTTTCATGCTTTGTTATTAAATATTCCTTAAAGGCAGATTTTTTTTTTAATATAGATTTTAAATGCTGATGAAAATGATCTAATGATGATTTTAAATGCTATGGTATTATTTGCATATTTTTCAGAATGGCAAAAAATGCGCAAAAAGCTGACTGTAATGTAATTTTTATAATAAATATTTTGTTGCCATTTTGAGGGAAAGTCTGCACTTTTTTCTGTTTTAGGAAAATTCAAAAGAAATTAAAATTTTTTGGCATATTTTAGAGGTGACTTGTCAATTGTCTTATGATTTGTAATAAAATTAGGCAGCAGGTTTTCTTTTTTGAAAGTTAGTGAAACATGTTTGCTAATATTGGTGATGCTTCTGCTAATTGTAAGCTGTCAGTTTTCTGAGTAATGCGCTTGAAACTTAATATACATTCTTCATTTGGCTGCAATCATTTCCACAGGCAGAGAGTGGCTAGAAACAGGTGAGACTCTTCCTCATCTTTTTTCACTTGCATTATTTCATATTTGAGATAATTTTTTTGTGTGTGTGAATGTTGTTTAATATTCAAGGAAGTTACAATATATGTAATTTTCACTTACAAAACTTTAAGTGAAATTGAACTTTTGTATGAAGTTACGAGGTTTTTTTTTTTTTAAATCTTTGTTCTTAAGTTATTTATTACTCTGTTTTAGATGTTCCAAATAGTAAGTGACATTAAATGTAATATCTCATTGACTATTAAGAAATATTTTGCATATCTTAATTTCATGTATTTGCTATACATGTATGTTAAAGTTTTTCTTTCCAAAAATGTTAACATCATTTTCAAGTGATCAGTAAATGTAATTTCACAAAGATTGTGTAAATTATTTGATAGAGTTGCTGTAGCGGTGTTCAAAATTTTACTTGGAATATTTATGTCTTGCGTGACAAAAATTTAAAGTATACTTTGCATTAGATTAAGGTAATAAAGTGACATAACTATTATTTCATCATGTGAAATACATTGTACACATATCTTCTGTGTTAATTTTAAAATCAATAATAAAAATAAACCAAATTGTACTGAAGATGAAATCAAATGCTGTTGTGCAGAAATTTAATTTCACACTGTACTGCTGTTATTAACTTGACATCTATGTAATTATTGTTAACAGTATATTATTTTTGCTGTCTTAGATAGGTTTCTATTAACTGCACGTGAATGTATAATTTATGCATTAGAAATTAATATCTAATGAATTGTAAAAATCTATAATTAGGTTTCTTGAGAGGTTTTTTTTTTCCCCTTTTCATTTTTGACGTGTGTGTTTTGCAAATAAATTTATAAAGTTAATTAATCTTAATTTTCTTTTAATTTTAAGGCTTTAGGTGTTTTTGGGCTATGTCAGATCCATGCTTTTGTGGACTACTTGAGATCCCGTTTGACATATGAGCACTTTGAAGTTCTTTTTCAAGCTGTTGTTTCTCTATGTTCTTTAATGTCTTTAGCTGTTGGAGCTGTTTTAACTGTTACTGGGAGTATCCTTCCAAAATTCTTTTTCAAGCTGTTTAATGTTTTATTATTTTGTCCTCTTAACTCTGATTAATATAATATTTTTAGTAATTCCAAACCTCCTTCAGTGTGCATTGGTTGTTTTTTATGTCAATAAATAATAATTTAATGAATTTGTTAAGTTTTATATATATTATGTGAATTTAATGTTTATTGAAGTGAGCATTTTTTTAAGATAAGCAAGTAAATTTAATATTTGTAATAATGCTTATAGTATAAATTTAGTTACACACCTAACTGAAATAGATTTTGCGAATTTAGAAATATATAATTTCTTTGTATTGGGTAGCCATAAAGTTTTTAAAATATGAATTTGAAAAATACTGTCCGCAGGCAAAAAAAAAATTGCAAATTATTCTGGCAGTCTCAATTGAGGTCATAATGGTCACATCATGCCTGTGTGTGAGGTGTCAAATAGCTGATACCTTGTATGTTTTGAATTTTAACTTTGGTGTTGATATTTTTAGAGAGTAAAAATAAAGACATTACATTTTAAAGCTGGAGCAGAAATATTTGACTTTTATGCAGTTGACTGTTGTTATATTTGGTATATTAAATTCTCATAATAAATGTCAACTTTTCCAAATCAAGGAAATAAATTACATTTTGTCAGACTGCCATATTTATTCATTTATTTTTTTCCTAATGATCAGATACTTATTCTTCAAGCAATGATTGGGATAGGCCCAAACACATTTAAGCTGGAGCAGAAATATTTGACTTTTATTGCAGTTGACTGTTGTTATATTTGGTATATTAAATTCCCATAATAAATGTCAACTTTTCCAAATCAAGGAAATAAATTACATTTTGTCAGACTGCCATATTTATTCATTTATTTTTTTTCCTAATGATCAGATACTTATTCTTCAAGCGATGATTGGGATAGGCCCAAACACATTTATCATTTAGTTTTTCATCACTGAGAATGTTGCATGAGGTGTACCACAGGGAGTAAGTTGATATTATATCTGTGAGAATAGTCAACTCAAATATCCATGCTATGTCTGGGATTTGAGCCCAGGCACAAAGTTATAACAGCCAGCTCCCCGTTTACCCTACCAACGGGGTTGTGTGATATTTAAAATAGAATGTGGTAAATTTCCCAGTGTTTATGAAAATTTTATGTTGATCCTGTGTATACATAAATCAGCAGTAGCTTAATATGGTTTAAACAAATTTGAGAGCATACAAAGGCTCCTGCTAAGGTTGTAGACAGAAAGCTCACCATCTGATAATAAGTGTTACAAAATGTACAGGCGCGGTAAGATGGCTCCCCTGCAAAGCAGTTTTAGGGTTGCCATAAAATAGCAAGGAGGGCAGGGTTACCACATTTAGCGACAAAATTGGCGAAATACCATGGACAGTTGGAGAACCTTCTGGAACGAATTCTTACCTGTTTAGCCCAGAATGTTCCCAAACACAAGCCGAAAGCTATATAAACCCTGCTGGTCCTCAGTCAGGAGTAGTATCGAGAATGTGTGTACCTCTTCTAGCGAGCTGATAGTCAGTCATTGAGCGAGTGTCTCGAAGTCTAGTGCCGAGGTGGTCGTGAGTGCATCGAGAGAGTCTTTTAGTGCATCGCAAATTAATGCATCGTCGAGTTTTGTCTTAGACTGCTGAGTGGAGAGCTATACTCTTGTGTATCGTCGAGTGCATCGTGTGGAGAGCCTCGAGATAACATGGAATCCGAGAACAACCAAGCAGAGTTGGGAGCTGTACTTGGGTGCTTTGCAGTGAAGCTGCCTCCACCGTGATAGCCTGATAACCTGAAGGCTGTGTCGCTGATCGTGTCAGCGTGTTTACAGTAGTTCATCGACGACTGTAAAACGTGTTTTGGAGCTGTCCTGACAATACTGGCAAATAAAGTATGTTTCGATACTTCATCAAGTGTCCTTGTTTTTCACTGCAGATCCACACAAACCCCGTACGAACGTGAATGAAGAAAATAATGCAACAACTGGTGTCAGAAGAATAGAAAAACACAACAATAGTTTTAACTACTTTTCTATCAAATTAATGAAGTTTGTTTTAGTTACATTTAAAGCAGTGAGTTAAAAAAAAAAAAAAAAAAAGAAACATGAACTAAAAAATAAATTAAATGAATACTTGAAAATTTAAAATATTGAAACTGTGATTTCTGTGTTTTTATTGTTTTATTTCTGTATTTTCTAATGCCCATGTTATGTTAAGTTGATTAATTTTTCCTTTCTGTAAAATACACTGTAATTACTTTTGATCATATATACATTTGATACACCATTTATAACATTTCTCTTTGTAAATGCAGTGAGCCCTCTGTAAGACAACTTCCCAGAGTTCTAAATAATTTTGATTTTCTGCAGAGGATCATCCTAAAAAAGATGACTGTTGGTGATTGAATTCATTGTATTAAAAATGATTTGCTTACTGAGATAATTTATTACTAATATAGCAAATAAAAGTAGGAAAAATCTGTTTTAATTTTCTGAAATATATAAAGGGTGTTCAAATGAAAATGTATGAAATGACACTATGGGTATATTCAAGTCTTTATTCACAAGTAATCACCAGAGGCATGAACAGAACTATTCCACTGTTTCAGGAGCCAAAGGATTCCGTCTTTTCAAAATTCCTGTAGCCATAACAGGAACCAGTCCTCCAGTGTGTCCTTCAGTTTGTCATCTGAGTTGAAGTGCTTCCCTTTGAGATGTCACTTCTCGTTCACTTCATTAATGAGTTCGGCCATGATTACTGTGTTTGCATGGCCTGGTCACGGGTCATTACTCAAACACTAGAGGCTTTTACAAAAACTGGCAGTCCACTTTCTCACTAAATTGGCGGATACACAGTCTCCCCTGTATGTGATCATCATCCGGCGATGAATATCAGCCAGTTTAAACCCTTCCACAGTAAGAAATCCAATAATACCTCACTGATGCTCAGTCATTGAATTTTGCAATCTAAATGCTATGATATCCTCACGTGTGCTGCTGCATCAATTGGATGGAACACACGACTTCCTACTTCTCTCATGCATCATGTGTGGTCACTCACACATGCACATCGCCACGCCTGACACTACATTCGCATCCTTAGGCGTCTTACTACGTTATGCTAAAGCAGCATATTCAAATTTAAACTGGTTTATTTGTTATGATGTTTTGTACCTTTTCATTTGAACATCCCTTATAGTATCTGAATAATTAAAAATGTGAGAAACGCATCTTACGCATAGAAAAAAGACAGAAATTTTATACATTTGATTTGGAAATTGAAAAACAGTACTATATTCATCTAATGAAGCCTTATTTCTTCAAATAGTTGAAACTTCATAAAGTATGCTGTCGTACTAGACACTAGATTATGACATAATTATTTTGCTTACATAATTTACAGCTTTCTTACTGTTAGGAACTGTTAGAATTTCACTGCCTTCTTTCTCCATCAGTTTCTTCTGCTTTTTTTAAATTTAGAGACGGTTATGTATTTCAGAAATGTTTTTCAATCAGTAAGTTTGAATATGAAACTTTGTCAAGTTTGGATGAATTTTACTAACTCTCAAGCTAGCTTTATGATTTTATTGTCATGCAGGGCTAGAATTAATTATTCTTTACTTTTATGCAACTTGTAGTGGATACCACTTTGATTAAAATACTTCTTTTATCATATTTTCATCCACTCTGTTCCAGGCTTCTTTTGCATTTTCAGCTCTTGCACCAAAAGTATTTTCTAAATTGCTTCATATTGTATTTGGCTGAACTGATAAGTGCTATCATAGTAATCACTGTAAGTTCGTGTTAGTTCCAAAGTTAAAAAATACTGATGTAGTGTTTGTAGTAGGACAAGAAAACAATAAATCAGCAGCTGTCTTTTGGGTGACATGAATGCTATCTGAACTCTGCAGAAGACAAGAATGTTACCTGATACATTACCAGCTGCACAGATAGGAAATAAAAGAAAAAGTAAACTGTGTCATGGAATATAGATCTTGTAAACTTATGTCATACTGGTAAAGGATAAACATGAAGCTTAAGAACTGATTTAACTTTTGTTTTGAATAAAGATATAAATAAATAGGTTTTCGATCTTACAGTAAGTATTTAAGTTTCAACTTTAATGAGTTGTATAGTATGTAAAATATTTTCTTGGTTAGTGAAATTAGAGATCTTGGGGGCTGCTTTAATTCATATTTGGTAATCTCATTTGCATCGGGGCATGGTTGCTTAATTATCTAAATATCTGTGCTAAAAATCTTTGTTGTCAGAAGCAGTGATCACTTTCAGATAGTAATTTCTGAAAATGAGGTCAGGAATAAGAAGGTTCATTATATCTTTCAGTTTCATATTGAGTCATCTAAAAAGTTCTGTGGTTTTTTTTTTTTTTTTTTTTTTTTATAATACAGCACATTTTTTTCTAATTGTAGATACTCCCCCACCTTACAAATGAGTTATGTTCTGAATGACCACCCTACCATGAAATTTGTACATTATATATTACTAACTTCTCTACACATATGTTCTAACTGTACTTTACAACAATACTAAGTGAAAAATTAAAAATGCTAAAATGTAAGGAGTTGAGGTTAGGGACCAACAGAAGGATCTCTGAGGAGATTTCTGATCTCTGAAATCAGAGAGGATTTCTGAAATGTCTTTCAAGAAAATGAGTGTGTAAACTTGTCTGAACATGTTTCAATTTTCTTTTGTCATAAATAGGACCACATCACGTAGCCTCATCTGCTTTGCTTGATTTGTTAATTTTCTTTTCGACTCAGAAGTTTATTCTTATATGTGAATTCTTGAAATGGAGAGTGTCTATATTTAGTATGTTGGTGAGGAGTCATCTTGATTGAAATCTATGTGTAAACAATATTTTCTGCTTGCAATGCATAATTCTAGCATGTGTTGTGATGTAATTCTTTTTTCAGTGCAGTGCTATGAATGGAAAACTCAAAAGTTCATTTTCATCATATTATGCTGTTTTATTTTAAAGGGGGGGGGGCAAAAATGATTGTGAGACTCAAAATCAGACTGTCGGACTCGGACTTACTCAAAGTTCATTCAGGACATGAACAAAGTGCTGTTTCTAATGATTCAGTTTGAAAGTGTTTTAAGAAGTGTAAGCATAGAAATTTCAGCTTCAAGGATTATGCTTGCTCTGGACAACTATCATCTGTAAATAAGAACTTGTTAAAAGAAGCTGTTGCTAAAAATCTTTGTTACATAATAGGGATTCTGCGAAGAAGATTGGGAACATAAATCACTACAATATATGGCTACTCCATGTTTTAATAGAGCAGAATATGTTTGCTCAGATTTCAACATGTGATTCTTTTCTGAAACAAAATGACGAAGCTCCTTTTTTAAAACAGCTCATTACTGAAGATGAAGTGGATGCTACACAGTAATGGCACAAGAAAAAGATCATTGGGTAAGCCAAAAGAACCTCTTTTAGTAACATTGCTAGGTAGCTGTATCCCCAAAAATAATATTTTGTGTATGGTAGAATTACAAAGAAATATTGCATTGTGAGGTGTTGCCATCAAATCAGGCAATAAATACAAAAATACTGTACGTAAATGTCAGTTTTAAAAGTAGAAATTAAAGTAGAGCACCCAGAGCATGTCGAGGTATTGTCTTGCATTATGAGGATGCTTGGCCTCACATTTCAATGAATATTAGACAAAGACTATTTGGATATATGTATGATGTTTTGTGTCACTCCCCCATATTCACCAGACCTTGTCTACTGGGTTTTCATCTCTTCAGGTCACTTCTCTGAATGCCCTACAGCTCATTTCTTTGGAGACTGACAAAGAGTGCCTCACTAACTTCTTCATGAGGAATTTTCTAGCTCCCAGAGAAATGGCAGGAAATCATAGACCAAAATGGTGCTTATGTGATTAAATGAATTTTTTTTATATTTTTATACTGCTTCATTCATATTTATCATAAACACAGAATGTTTTAGATGACCCAAACATGTACTTTACATGTGTTTGTCAAATTTTTTTATTCTTCAAGTGCTTGTGAAGTGATCCAAGTTTATTTGTGACAATGTAAAAGAAAGTGTTCCTTAATGATTTTAGAAATTTCTCCATGGACTGGCAGGTTTTATTCTCTGTTAGATCCTTCATACGCCAAGAATAATATTCCTATCATTGCTTCTGTTTCGGAGCATCAGCCTACTTCTTGGTCAAGTTTTTACTTCGATCTTCAGTTTCTTGTATTTATGTTTCCAGGTAATTTCATGCCAACAGTTTCTTTTGAAATTATACTACAAGATCAGTATTAACCCTTTCGCGATGGCGCACATTTGTTTAAGACGCTCATGCAGGAAGGAAGGGAATTAAAGGCAGTGACCGTACAGGACGGAGGTTTTACATCGCTAAGCCTAATTTTATAATAAAAATCAGGAAACAAAAAGTTTCACTTCTAGCTTCTTAATTTTTGCTATCATTTTAGATTATTACTCGAGCTCTTATATATGTTAAAATTAGCACTTAATACGTTTTTACATGAAAATATACTTAAAAATTTCCTTATCTTGTAAAATAATTTTCGAAAGCGCTATTCAAATTATTCCAAAGTTTCAGTTGATAAAATCCATTAATAAAGTGTAAAATTAATAGAACAATACAATAAAGACTATTTACAGTAAGAAGTAAAATTTTAAATGAAAAGTGTCTCAAAGCACAGAGAAGTATCACTTTCTAACTCTTAGAAAAAGTATCACTTTCTAACTCTTAGAAAAAGTATCACTTTCTAACTCTTAGAAAAAGTATCACTTTCTAACTCTAGAAAAAAAATCATCACTGTTATCTGCATTAGTAAATGGTTCATTAAGCATACGAGGGTATTCTTCCTCTGATAAATAGCTCCTTTCTGCCATAACAGACTGGAGGTGAGGCTTTCTGAAATAAAAAGAGAAGAAACGGAAATATATCTGAAGGCAATGCAAAACTTAACAAAACTCCACATAGTGACTTTAAAAAACCGTATATAGTAGAAGAGAAAAATAGAATAAAAAAAAGGAATTGGATATAAATCAGACACACGAATATTTATATTAGCACGCGGTGATTCAAAAAGGGCCCACCTCTGTTTACGCTTTCCCTCCCCCCCCAACCTCGCAACAGTTGATGAGTAAAATACCGAAGTCGGTCAGAATATCTCAAGGTCAGGAACCTAAAACTCTGTTCATTTCGAAAGTAATGGACATAAAAGATGCCATCTAGTGGCCTTCAGAAAAACGTTCCAGCTTAAAATGCGTATACGCATCACCCATCCTCTGAATGCAATCTGTAGTGATGCGTGGATAGTTCTTAGGAAATCCATATATGGGGCGCCCGTCCTGAAAGGGTTAAAGCCTGACTTTTATGACTAAATTTGTTTTTGCATGAATTTAATAGAACTCAAACATGTTAAGTAAAAGTGCATTCATCTTCACTGACTAGAAGAAAAAAGAATAAAATTAGTATATTTTATTTTTTATGAAAGAAACCGTATTAATTAAAAATTGCAGAAAATTTGTTAATCTACTAAAAATGTTTTCTTCTCTTAAAATTATTTTAAAACAATTCAAATATCTAGCTTCAGCTTGCAGAAATCGTTGAAACCGAGTGTATCATATCTATATATTCTGTATCTATTTGACTATGTATCTCCGAGTCATATAAAATTTGGTGAACCATGATTATGTTTTGTACTGTTTTATCATGTTAAACAAATTAAAATAATAATAAACCATGCTGAATAAACAATAGAATTAATTTTAAAAGCCTTACTCTGCCCTTCAAAAATTCAAATAATTGGAGTTTTGTACTTTGTCATATCTAGTATATGAGAGTCATGTTGGTCACCTTAATCAGCAGTGCTAGATCTTTGCCTTAACAAAACTATGAGGAATTGTAATGGTTCATGAAACTGAATAAGAAGTGTTTTTTTTTAAACTTTTTCCCATGGGCTATAGTGACCGATTTTCTATTATTAGGGCCATTTAGTCAATTATTTTAATAGGAAGGAACAGAAAAACAAATCATAGGGTCTTACACTTCCTGCTCCAGATTAAAGAGTAAATTTTAAATCTTTATAATTTAGTGATATTTCTCGAGACACATTTAAAGTAGTGAATTTTCAGGACATAATTTCTCAGATCCCTGGAAAAGGTTAAATACCAGGTAATTTACATTGATATTGAAATATTAGTGATATTAAATCAAGAATAAAATTCTGAGAGTGATGTCACACTTTCAGAATCATTGATCAATCTAGTTTAATTTGAAAAAAGGAGGTTTTGTTTGTTTTTTAAGTGTCCAAATACAAAAAAACGAGTACTATTTGTTCAGATGTTAAAATCTGATCAAGATGTGAAACCTAATTGGAAGAGAAATCCACCAATGTAACATTTAAAACTAAGCAAAAAAGGCAACCATAGACTGACTGAGTTTTAAATCAAACATTTTGCAGTAGATCAGACATTAGTCCCTCATCAGAAGCAACAAATTTTTTCCTAAGGTCGGAGTAGCTACAACCATTTTATATTGAAACCAGGGAAGGGAGCAAACTGGAAAGAAATGTATGCCATTTGTAAGAAAAGTAGTAGTGAAATTCCAAAAAGTTAAGATGTTTGAATTTTGAAAACATTGGGAAGAACTAGATTAAAAATGATATTAATGAAAAAAGAGAAGTTTTTGAGAGAATCCAGTTTACTAACTGAAGAAGCTTAGTGTATAATTTTCACAGAACTGAAGTCAAAACTGGAATAAGTGCTTCATTATGATTAGCTATTGTTAATCTATTTATTTTTCCTTTTAAAACAGAATTCATATTCTTGGATGCAAGGCTTTAATGCTCTGTTTGTTTAGCCATTAAATGCCAAACCATGCTGACATAATGTATTAAAAATTCTCCAAGGATTAAGAATTAGTGGTAGAGAAAAATCAAAACTAATTTTACTAAAAAGTAATAAAATCACCTGAAAAGTTGAAATTGTGCAGAATCTGTGTAGTTTTATAATTGATAGACGAATGAAATGGAATGACAAGATTGTTAGGGTTATTTCTATTAATTGAATGTTAGCAGTAGAAAATTCACTGTCAGTACCATGAGATTTCAAATAATTTAGTTCCTAGTTAAGCAGTAGTTCTGGAATCATATTCATTACAAATAATAGGAATATTCAGAAAAAGAAGGGAGCTATCTAGTTCAGTTTCAAAGGCGAATTGGACGGTTGAATCATTCAAATTTGTAACAGATAAAATCTTATTTAAACCTTCTTTATTACCTTAAAAATAGGATAGTGTTACGATTGTTTTTCAGAAAATTCAACCTCAAAATTGTGCTTGTTAATGTCAGCAGATGTTGAACTCGGAGAACGGGACTAATCCTTCAATTTGCTGATAGTAATTATTTTGAAAAATGAACTGTGGCTGACTCAGAAGTGAGGAAAATTAATTCCTCAATTTCAGTATGTGTGAAGTGGGATTCTTGATGCCTAGTTTTAGTGCATTTTAATGCTTCCCAACTGGAGCATTAGTAAACAGTGGTTTAAATTTCAAAGAAACCATTAATAGAGTACTTGGAAATATCCAAGTTAGTCAATGAGTTCAAAAGAATTTTTTACAGTTTAAGTGTCGTTAGAAAGTTCAGAGGAAAGTACAGAAAAACCAGATATTGTTAAAAGTATGTTATATTAAACTTCTTCAGTTGGAGAATTGGATGATGTTTGAAGCCTTTCACATCCACAAAAATTTATCATCTTTAGTTAATGAAGTTAGTTCCAATCCACTTTCTCCAGATGTTATTTGGTGTACCCGATGTTATATGCAAAATCCTTATATCTTAGCAATGTTAAATTTTATTTATAGTTTCCTTCCACAACTGTTTTTGCTCCCTCTGTTAGTTTTCATATAAAGTGGCAGCTGCACCTTTGCAAACAAATTTTTTGCTCCTGAAGAAGAATGGGCCTTTATTTGATCACCCTTGAAATTAATGGTTTCACTCAAAATCTATTATTCTAAAATTGAACAAGCTAGGAAAATCAGTTCAAAAGCTGACCTGTGTAAAATATCTATCATTTTAGAAGTTGTTGCTTTTGTCTACATTTAGATCTTTATATCTGGTTGTAACAAAAGTTTCAGCCAAAAACATTCTTAATAAAGTTAGAGAAAAATGGTGAATGCAGTACCTTTAATGTGGGTAGTATTCACCACCCAAATCTGTGATTTTTCTGCCAATGTTTTGGTAGTTTTTCAAAGCCTTCAGCCATGAAACTTAATGGCTGCTAGTCCAAAAACAGATCAACCTCAGGTTTCGGACGTCCTGCGCAGAATGGAAGATAGCACCAGCAGCATGTAGCTGCAGGTATGAAAAAGGTAGAAGTCCAAAGGAAAAATGCTACGGCTATATGATGGGTGTGAAGAAGATTCCATTCAAGTCCGTCAATTTTTATATCACATACGGATTCTTTAAAAGAAATTTAAAATTACTGCTTCATTATATATTAAATTTTTAAATAATGAAGTGTATATTAATTACTTTATTTCAGAGATTTTCATTGAAGATTATAATATATTTCTTTTTTTAAATAGTTGGACTCTATTATTGCTTTTCCAAATTGACAGATGCTAATATATTTATAATTTTATATGGAGTCACAAGCATTTATTTTGCGGTAAGTATTTTTTATCTAGCATCTTACTGCTGTACTTCTTAAGATAAAGCAAGCCATATAGATAGTATTTTATTGTTTTCTGTTTAGTTTATACTTACAGAATTTGAGAATTTTAAAGTTTAATCTTATTTTTTCTTTGTTCCGTTAATTGTACAGTTTAAATTATAAATATAACTCTTAAAATAATTTGCTATTTTTTCCTATTTCTTTCAGCTAAATAGCCATCTTGAGCAATTTTATAAATTATTCGTCTTTGAAGTTTGCATAATATTAATGTTATTTGTTGTACCTGATGTTATATGAAATTATAAGGTATTTCTCCCGCCTTCTTAGCATGCCTTTGTAGTGTAGCAGTCAGCATGCTGGGCACGTATTCCAGAGGTTTGTGATTCGATTCCCGGTGAAGGTGTTGCTCATTGTTCATCTCTCCTGCTTTCAGAAAAATACCTAATGTCTCTACAGTGGCACCTGAACTAAAAGGTGGTGAATGATGAATCTTCATCACCAAAATTTGGTGACTGGGTCCCCTAAAATGAAAAACCCCAGTCGGCCTTTAAAAGGGGGAGTATACAGTACAAAATCCGAGATTCGGACTCATCGAAACTTCCACAATTCCGGATAATAGATCATCAGTTTAAATCCAGTAAGAAGGCGTGTAGAAATTATAAAATTAAAAATATAAAGTAATGAAGCATTTATGATCAAAATCATACATACTTCAAAATCACAAACAAAACAAAAAAAAGTATCAAAATTCACAAAAAAAAAAACTTAATATTTATTTGTTTATTAAACGTTTCTTTCAATGTAATGTGTTTAAGTTGCTTCGTTCTTTGTGCTAATACTTCTTCCCTAATTCTGTACAGACATAATTTCTTGTTTAGATACATTGTTGAAGGTCCTGTAATTGCTGTGTCAAGAATTCCGACTAACTTGTCGATCTAAATTTTTTCATTTTCAGTCAACTCTATCACTTTCTACATATTTTGCCATCCATTAATTGATTGATGATTCAGGAGCAATGTCATCACAATGAAAAACTTCTTTTATATCATCTTCATTTATTACCGCTTCTCCACATTTCTTTACAAAATTCTTTAATTGGAAAATTTCTTTTATATCATCGTCATTTATTACCGCTTCTCCGCGTCTGTTTACAAAATTCTTTAATTGGAAAATTTCTTTTATATCATCTTCATTTATTATCGCTTCTCCACATTTTTTTACAAAATTCTTTAATTGGAAAATTTCTTTTATATCATCTTCATTTATTACCACTTCTCCACATTTCTTTACAAAATTCTTTAATTGGAAAATTTGACCTTTGGTTTGCGATATCCAAAACTTTTAAAATTCACAGATGTCATCATAAAATTTAACTACCTTTCACTGTTATTTGGCATGAGATGTATAGCTTTTTCGGTACATGATGCATGCAAAAGTTTTGTTCAACATCTCAAGTACCTTGCATGAGTTAAAAGCAATATTGCAAATAATTATTGTAACTGCTGAAATAAAGTAACAATATTTATACATCTATTCATATGCATTATTTTCTCTGGAAGTTTTCTCCAAGTCTTCATTCAAAAATAATGCTTATATTTTCTACCTCTTGACTTTTGAGAGGTAAAATTAGTAAATCAAATATAGGATATGTGTGCAAGTATATTTTCATTTAATAAAGTAAATTTTTTTATAATGACTACCGACTTTTCAATTTTTTTTTTTTTTTTTTGGTCTTTTTTAAGGGAGTTATGGTTCGATTAATGCTTGTTTTGGCTCCTGTTATGTGCATTTTATCTGGTATTGGCGTGTCTTCAATTCTTACTACATATTGCAAACAGTTGGATTCAACCCAGCATGATAAAAAAGCAAAACGTTTTGACAGCAATTATTTTAAGAAAAATGAGGTATGTTAAGTTAATGAATTATTTTATAAATATTCTCTTACTGTAAATAATATTCATTTTATAATTACATGATTCAGAATTTCATGAATTTAATTTTTTAAAAAAGTGTCAGATAACTCTGTAAAGAAGAGTAGCATTCATAATTTATGATACTGTGCAATTTATTTGTATTTTTCATCATCTGAAAATAGTGTGTTTCATTGATTCTAAAATACATGCATTCTAAAACAGAATTTTAGTAATGCCAGTAGAGAGAAAGGGCTTTGATTGTAAGAAAAAAAGGGCTAAAATATATCTAGCAAAAATTTTTTTAAACATTAATATTCCTATTTAAATTGGTAATTCAGAGAAGTTATTCTTTCAGAATAATCAATAATTTAAAAAATTTTGAGATTCTAATCTGTAGCCATGTCTGTGAGGAAAAAAAGATGTATCTTATATATGGGGAATACTTAAGTCTGTTTTTGTGATGCTGAATATTTTAACATTGTGTTTTTACATTGCAGGTTTCTTATGGTTTTATCATTGTAATGTCTTTTTTCCTAACTGTATATATGATACATTGTACATGGGTAACATCAGAAGCATACTCATCTCCATCAATTGTTCTCTCTGCTCGCAGTCATGATGGTTCTAGAATCATATTTGATGATTTTCGGGAAGCCTACTATTGGTTAAGACATAACACTCCTGAAGTAAGTGAAGAAAATATGACTTGGAAGGTGTTACAATATTTATTGAAAGCAGTGATATTGAAATTGTTAGATTTGATAGTTTTATATGAATTAAACTATGAAACAACTGTGTAATGTTTATATATTTTTAGTTAAAATTTTTATTTGATTTACTTCATAGCATTAATTTATTTAGGTATTGTGGTTTGGAAATATAGTTTTATATTATGCCTTGCTTCATGTGAAATTAACATATTTTTATTAAGAAATTTCTCTCTTTTTTATATGTGTGTTTACTGGAAGTAATGTAGATATTATTTATGAGCTATGATCAAATTTTGACATTATTTGAAACAAATTTGAGCATCAGTTGGTTAGCATTTCTTGAAAAGAATAACTTGCATGGTTTTTTTTCACTATATATATAAAACCATACATATATACATAAAGTATACATAAAACCACAAATATATACACTGGTGAAATAAATTAAGAGAATTTGCATATTTTATCGAATTGCATGAAAAGAGCTGAACTGAAAGAAAAACCACTGCTTCTAGATAAAAATGAATATCTTATATGGCAAATACGTAAGCATACACGTGTGTGTAGGCGGAGCCATAGAAAAACAGGCTTTATAAGGCACGTGGAGGGTAAAACAAATTGCGTTTGCTGGCACACCTCGGCGAATTTCTTAGTGTTATCTTGCAGCAATTGGTTAAATTCAAATAAAAAATGAGTAACCACCAATGTTTAGATGATGGAATGAGGTGACGAATTTTGGGGATGTTAGAAGCAGGCCAATCACAAGTCCAGATATGCAGAGTTTAATTTAACGCCCAGCATTGTGTGTAACCTATGGAAACGGTTCCAGGATACTGGATCGATCGAGAGAAAGCCTGTGCAAGGTCGTCCAAGAGTCATGATGGCAGAGAAGATCACTATTTGTCCATTTTAGCAAGGTGTAACAGAGGGGCTACAGCTTCTCGGCTATCTCGGGACCTGTATGCAGCCACAGGAACTGTATAACAAGGATTTGTTATACAGTTCCTATTTCCAAAAGACTAAGAAAAAGATTAACTATTTCCAAAAGACTAAGAAAAAGATTAACTATTTCCAAAAGACTGAATGAGAGAGGGTTGTTTGCCAGAAGACTGGCTATTTGCATCCCGCTCATGTGTACAGACAGGAGAGGCTGATTAGCATGGTGCAGGCAGCATAGTGATTAGAGTATGGAGCAATGGGCAACCGTTCTGTTTACTGACGAGTCCTGTTTTAGCCTAAACACTGATTCTTGCCGTACTTTCATATAGACAGAGCCAGGGACCCACTACCTACCCTCTAATGTTCGTGAAATCAACATATATGGTGATGACGACGTAATGTGCTGGGCAGGCATTATGTTGGATTGCCGCACACCTCTCCATATCTTTGACAGAGGCTCTGTGACTGATGTGAGGTATGGGGATGGGGTCTTAGAGCCCTATGTTCGCCTTTTCCGGGGTGCAGTGGGCCCCGAGTTCATCTTATAGAACGATAACGCGAGGCCACATAGAGCTCTTCTGGTCGACGAATTTCTCGAGAGTGAGGATATTCGACGGATGGATTGGTCAGCCAGGTTTCCAGACCTCAAACCTATAGAGCATGTCTGGGACGCTCTGGGGAGAGCAATTGCAACTCGCAACCCCCCTCCAAGAACCATCCAAAAACTGAAAACAGCGTTGCTGAATGAGTATGACCAATTGCTACAGGCACTGATAACTGCCTTATTTCCAGTATGACATCACACTACAAGGCTTGTATGGCTGTAAGAGGGGACCTTACCCCCATTAACCCATTTCTTTTGTGTCTTCTGCAACTGCTGTTTCAGACCTTCAGACTCCCATGAGTGTTACACTTGAACATGTGTGTGTATTATTATAACTGTTGAATGTTTATTTTGTTTGTATTATATCAACCTATGTTCACACCAAATTTTATTAAAATCTGTCCAGTAGTTCTGATGATCGTAGATCGAATATGAAAATTCTCTTAATTTATTTCACCAGTGTGTATGTGCATGAGATGTGTGCATATATACATGCATGAGAGAGAATCAAATTCAGAATACATATGTGTTAATATTTGATTATGTTGTACTGTATATGGAGAAGTTTGTGTTCACACTCAACTTTTGATTTTTCATTTGTTACCAATTTTTTCCATCTCCACCAGTTTATTCATATTAACATAACCACCTTAAAATTAAAGGAGGAACTTTGTATACATTTTGATGTTGAACTCATCCATTGAATGGTTTTTATAAGTTGGACTATAAAAAAAAATTATGGTTAATCTTTGGATTATGGTAACTTGGCGACCTTTTGGTGAAAATTTGGCGACCAACTCTGCTACAGCAACCTGCTACTTTTTGTTTGGATGCCATTTTGTTTTCATGAAGTAAAGGCATGTTTTTTTTTTTCTTTCACTCAACATTTTTTTCCAACAATCTGCTAGCCGAATTATGATTATGCTAGAACTTTTATGGAACAAAAATGCTTAATCATGACGAAAATTAGGTGTGAAATTGGGAGAAAGTGCAGAATCGCAAACTGCTTGCTGGGTGTTTTTAAGATTTGCACATACACGGTATCATCCATGTATAAGTTGACCTATTTTCACTTAAAAAAAAAAATCCCAGAATTGCACAAAAATGGCATTGCACACACTCTAGACTTTATCCATGTACACTGCTAAAGTCCTAGCTAGTAACCTTTATCACCTTACCAAAATGTTGCCAAACTACCTGTTATCATATTCCAAAGATTAGCCAAAAATGTCTACCTCCAAACATGTTTTAGTAAATATTGACAATGGGTGCAAAGTTTAGCATGCTATTTGTTAGTAAGGTCATAGATGAAAGCCTTCATTGAATCTGCCAGCTCTTGAAACAGGTTGTTCATGATTTTGCCATTTTGCTAAAATTGCACTTTAGAATTTCAGATCCTGCTTATGCATGGTGTTGTGTTTGCAACAGTCATGTAGAGTTCATAAAAAATGCTTCAAAAACCATGTGAAATGGTTCTGCAATTTTTCTGCATACTTAATACTACAACAAGAGCAAATGAAACAGTCTTACCAAGGTTAGGTATTATTTCATTGCTGAAGTTAAATCAAATATTTATATATCAATAGAACATATAGGCCTTTTATTTATGTAAAACAATTTTGCTTGAAGTCTTTAGAATCATATGCAACTAGCCTCTCTTTCACTTTGGCTTTTTGGAACTATGCCAATTTATGCCTGTCAGAATGCACATCGTCCCAGTTTTTACAAAAATTAAAATTTTTAGAACTTCTTAGACAATTTCTCTATTTTTTGAACGAGCTTTTTAGGTCATTATTGTAAAAATGCCAAAATTATACCCTTTTTGGCAATAATCCATAAGGTAGGGATTCTAAACTGGTAAAATAGAATCTCCTGCCTCAAGGAGGGAAATCTGCACATCATAAATCTAATAAAAACACAGATATTTTAAACCAAATAAAAATGTCTTCAAGATGCTTTTGTTCATGACCTTTATCTACAGTACTAATTAATGCTTCTATGATGTAACCTATGCCGGTGCTTGCATTTTGGGGGGGGGGTCACTGTGCGGGTCAGGCTGCACGACATTTGTGCCTTTGAGAATGGATATCCCTTTTGAGGATAATATAATCTCTTTTGAGGATGGATGGTCATGCCTGTTGAAGGTATTCGTGGTTCATTTCTGTTTACTGTTACAACTTCGCTGAATCGAGATACTGTTGCTAGATGATACTACTCGGTCTTGATACTCTCGCTAGATATAAAAGTGCTCCCACTGCTTCCCTATACTTCCGATTATCGGGAAAAATGTCATCCTGGTTGTTTTGGTTCTTCGTAAAATTCGTAGTCATGGGTGTATAGCTTAGTTTCTTTGGTGACTCTCCGTCGAATTTTTCGATCATACTATTAATCTTGTTAGCTTGATGAAGTTTAAAGCTTCCGCCTTTATCTCTTTCGATTTCAATTCCTAGATATGTAGACACTTCTCCAAGATTTCGAATGTCGAAATATTCTTTGAGAATTTGTTCAACTTCTTGAATTGATTCACACTTGTCGCTCTGCGACTAATATGTCATCAACATAAACGATTATGTAAGTTCTTTGCATTTTTCTCGATTAGTGTGAAGGAACATGGATCAGCCTTTCCTTGAACGTATCCTTGTTTGCGCAGGATTTCAGCTATCTTGTGATTCCAGTTTCTGGCTGCCTGTTTTAGTCCGTAGATACTTTTATTTAATTTACAGACTTTATTTGCTTCTGAAGGCAGAGATGTAACCTTCCGGTTGCTTCATATATATATATCTTCTTTCAGATCTCCATATAGAAACGCTGTTTTTACATCGAGGTGATTTACGTGCATTTTCCTTTGAGCTGCTATTGCCAAAATAGTCCTTATTGTTGTATACTTTACGACTGGAGCTAACGTTTCGTCGTAGTCGTGCCCAAATTTTTGGCAATATCCTTTAGCTGCTAAACGAGCTTTATATCTGATAATATTTCCTGAAGCATCGGATTTTGTTTTAAATGTCCATTTGTTTCCAATTGCTTTCTTTCCTTTTGGAAGATCGACTTGTTCCCATGTTTTGTTCCTCTTCAGTGCTTCCATTTCTTCTTTCGTAGCTTTTAACCACAGTTCCTTTTCTTTGGTAGGAAAAGTTTGAAGTTCTTCCCAGTCTTTAGGAACTTTTATTTCTTCATTCTTAGCCATGTGTGAGAATCTGTTTGGTGGGATTCCTTTAGTCGTTCTGTGGGATCTTCTCGGTAATGGGGGAATTTCTTCTGTTTCAATTACTTCCTCTGTTATATATCATTTGGACGTGGTTCCCTGTCATTTATTTTCTTTAAAAGGCCATTCTATTTCCTCATGCTGATCATTTAATTGACGAGGCATTTCTTCTTTTTTGTTTTCATCGAATATTACGCTTCTTCTGATCACGACGTTGTTTACATGTGG